CGGCGCCACAAATGTCTCAAGTTGACCTTGAGCTTCTGACGCACATTATTCAGCAGATGCTCACTCTTGAATCCCAGTCTGAGGACGACTCTTTTTTAACTGCACTTCAACCGGTGACCTTCATGTGCTATGTGCATCAACAAATTTATCTGGATAACCATTAATCAGTAGTGTTCATCGTAGGAAAGATCTCTTTTTCTTGAAGTGTGTCAAGAGAGCAAATATTCCCGGTGCGATAAAACGGCGTTTTCACCAACCCTCTTTTGTAGGCCGCAGGAGAAAAAATAGTGAATTGTAAGTATTGCCCATTTAACCCTTGTAGTCATCAAAATTTTTGTGTATAAATACCATTTTTGCGTTGAGGAGATTAAGAGAAATGCTAATACCTCGCAGTATTTGTCTTCTCTCTGTTCTAAAGAATTATGGCCCTTATATCCGCAAGCGGTTCATGTGTTCTACTTCGCTTCCGGCATTCGTTTTTAACTAATATTTCCCTTACTAATTTACAGCTCTGTGTATCCCTGCATGATATCATCTGAACAGGTTCCGTCTGAGAAACAGCACCCCGTATTGTTTATGGACGGGTTGCAGAAAACTAATAACAGCCGTTCCAGGTGACTGTACAAGCGATTTTCAAAATTTAGCTTCCTCCTCCCAAACGGAGTAAATCCAAACACACCCAGTGAATAGACAATAGATTATTTAAAAGATGGAAAAAGAAAGTAAACCTGATTGTTTTTTAACACAAAACAGATACAGATTCAATCCACTCGAGCTACTACTAAAATCAATTTTCAATACTCTATCAGCACAAAGCACACACAGTCTAACTGTACATGAATGCCTTTCCGAACTTATTCACTTGCTTAGAAACGACTGCAGGAGCTTCTCCATTGTCCGATCCTTATCCTATCCTTCAATATATTTCTAATCCATTTCGAACCTGCGAACTTCAAAACCGAGCAACACTCACTGTGTCCAATCTCTCTGTGTAGTTTTTCATGCATCGCAATTGCACCACGTGACTTCCACTGGTGCCAAAAATTGCCGGTCGAAAACTTCTAGTTAATACAGAAACGGAGAATTTCACACTCGTGTAACAGGATTGCCCCCATTGTGGCACAGTATACGCAACCCTATAGTTTCGTGAAAAAACAAGGATGGTAAAAGAGGATACAGTTGATGTAAGTTGCGACTGGTTCCGTACAAATCGTTTAGTCCATCGTGTGCTTATTCGGTAGTTACGCCATGTCAACGAGGAAAAAGATTACCTGATGGATTTCACGATAGAATATCACAGGTTCAATATGTATGGATAAATGAATTTGGTTTGACTTGAGATTTTGACGCACAGTGAAAATTCGATCGATGCTATCGCGACCTGGTCGGAATGTGGTCTGTCCATAACCGACCGATAGATCCTGCGGACTATGGGATGCACCGCTCCTCCTATGCGTCTTCTTTGAAAGGAGTCATTGAAGAAAAAAGAATAGCTTTTTATACACCGATACTTTACGCTGGAGTGTGTGTGCCAAACAAATCGTGGCGCACACATTTTTTGCAGCAATGGAATTTATATTTTCTTGGTCGCATCACTGTCAAACAACCAAAATCAGAACGATAATTTTTAAACAATTCACTACCGTAACCTTCGGTGCTTAAGTGTTGAGCTCATTGGCGGCGAACAATGTGTAAAACACGTAGTTCGTTGGTGGGGAAGAGGACAGTAATTTAAACAAAATGATTCTCTTGTCATTGTTCTGCAGTAATAAGTGACTGACAATTAGTCTTTTTTCTCATGCCTCAAAAATTGAAAACTATAAATGAGGCATCTAGTTGCAATATCCGCCTCTGTGTCTATAAATCTCTTTCATTAAATATCCTACTGGGGTGAACAGTTGACGGGGAAGGCCCCATAGTCTCGAGGACCTGCTGTTCAGTGATGGAAACCGATAACCTAAACCCCGGTACTTGGAGCGACAAACCACATAATGCCCCGCTCGGTCAGGCGTGGTATTGAATCGGACGACAGCAAAGCTGTCTACCACCAAAGTTGGTTGACGGTGGCACGGCTCGAACCGCGGTCCATATGGGCCGATGAAAACGACTAAACCATTGCGCTACCACCACTCATCGAAGGGTTTATCGAAAGTTTTTTTTGTTCGACAAGATTTGATTTCACTGTGTACTTGTGTTCTCGATAAATAACCATGAGGACGTATGAAACGACATCCCATATCCAACGGTACACCGCAACGACTGATTGACTGGCGAATGGACTACTAACTGACGCAACATGTTCATAGTAATACGAACTATGTGGTCTGATATGATGAAGCGAAACAGAATGTAATGTAGACATAAAAGTAAATTATGAGGAAGATTGAGATATCATAAATTGAGAGCAAGCTGGAAATTGTCGAGCCCAATAAGTACTAAGCATTGGGTGCAGCACGAAAGTTCACCTGAGCACCTGTGGCCAAAACGAAGAGTGGAAATTAGTGCTAAGACGGGTGTGGGTTGAGAGACCCGCACATAATCAGACAATAGAAACGCTTCAAACTGACTTGTGCTAGTGTTTAAAATAGTCGGATATCTGAACGATGGTCTGGAGTGGCGCGGGGGTGGGGTTACATGCACGATAAATCGTGAGGGAAGTGCAAGGGTCACAGAATAGCACACATAAATCTTGACCAACAGCTCAGTTAATCATGTTCAACGGAAGGAAAACCGAGATCGTTTATTGATACCCGTAAAGAACAAAAGTCCGGTCTGAGTTGAAGCTTATTCCCCACCCGGGCTGCTTCATCTGGTGCATGTATTGGCTGACTTGACGCGATCAAACTAATAGAATGAATCACTTTCCATAATTTGACTTATTTTAAAGGAAAACGGTGAATTAAGCAGTGCACAGACTTACACTTTCCAGCAGGTCCGTTCCCATGAATTCTCCCCTCGACCCAGCCCGCTCTAAATTTGCTTCACTATTTGAAGTTGAATCAACAAACTGGTGGGGGAACCGCTATTTTTTTATTCTCGAGGTCATTTCTCCGTGGGTGCTAGGACTAGTCGGTAGTGGTTTCGCCATCAACATCACCATCACATTCGTTGGTTCGAATCGGTGCTACATCTTGCCCCCACCTCAAAACTCATCATCCAAATGGCGTAAGTTGCATTCGTTAACTTCCAT